TGTTGCAGCATAGTACATATTATAAAAATTGCAGGTTTTTGAAAATATTTCGCGAAAATATCAACCAGTAAAACAGAAAATACCTGCTTCAAGTTAATTTTTAGACGCCAAATGAATTGAAATATTGCGACCGAGTGTGTGAAAATGTAGTCGTCATGTAATCGTTGCATCAAGATGGTAACGATGAAGTAACTATAATTGGACGACCAATGTGCAGAAAGCCTTAGTTGTCAAAAACGCATGCATTGAAAACCATGATGCAATAATACAAGGTGGTATCGGTTGGCAACTTCACGCTCTAATTCCACCATATTGACTGCCTTAGGAGTAACAGTGTTACTTCTTTAACAATTCTTTGCCTAATAATATAGTTGAACGTTTTTTTATTTTTTCTCAGTATACAAATTTTATTTTCCTAAAAAGGTATTTTATCTTATTTTATTTCATTTCATTACGAATGTACTATAAAAAAGCAAATTTTGTTTAGGAGAAAATGTGAATAAATGAATCTGCGTATTTGATTGAAAATCTCACTTTTTTCGCCTGTAGCACTAATAATTTTCATTGAACTCGCCACAAGTTATATATTTTGGTAAGAGGCACATCAATACCCTTCGAGCTGTAAGTCGCTTACGTTAATTTGGAGATTTTTTCATAAGATATTGAAGAAAAGCTAAGAAAAGTACCAAAAAACACTTTTTTGAAAAGATCCATCCATTGTCCGATAATTTTAAAATAACGAATAAAATGCGGGACAAATGCAGGACACTTGGAAAAAATCTACATTTTCAGGTTTTTCAGGTTTGAAAAATTACGCAGGACCGACCTTTGAAACAGTACGGTCCTGCAAAAAACAGAACGGATGGTCACCGTAGATATAACGGTAATTTAGACAAATACGAAATCTTCGATAAATCAGTAAATAATAAAGCTAATTTATTCAAAATTGATGTTTGCAACAATTCTTTGCCAAGAAATACGTCTATAATAAAATTTTGGAAAATGGGCTTGGCACCACCCACTTATGATGACATATACATATGTATCTCGATAAGCGTTCTACTAATTTGTACCAAACGCGGTATGGTTATTGTGCTTGCCACATAAAAGCAAAACGTTGAGAATTATTGAAATCTAACTAAAATTGAGGCCGCTTTTCATATAACGGTAAATTTCAGAAATGCTTGAAGCTTCAATATTTCGAAATTTAAGGACGCTAATTTACTCAAAATAGATACACCCCGGCTTACCATGTAGCGGATAGTAGTATAGTAGTAGTATAGTTAATACTTGTGCCGGGTATTTAATGTTCGGTTCCGGCCGAACTTAGACTTTCTTAATTGTGGTTCGTTACATAAGGTTTGCCGACTGAAGTCTATCATCATGTCTTGAGTTGAGTTGAGTTTTCGTACTGGGAATTCGGGCCGATAAAGCTTTGATAGTTGTTATCTACGTATTACAAGTTTTATGAGATATATGTATGTACATACTATTAATATGTACATACATGCATCCATACACTCTCGGAGATCGAAATCCACTTGGCTTTGATGGCTGCATAAAATACCAAAAGCTCTCAACCTGGAAGAATAGTACGCGTCTTACGCTTGCAGCTTGAGGGCGTATTGCTGTATTTTAAAGTGGCTTTGGACAGTAAATATATAGCACATACATATATCCACAAGTATAGGAACACCAGTGATCCTGCTCCTGTTTACATAATTATTTTCACTGCGTGCCGACTGTGGTCTACATACATATATTACCTAGTATGACTGCTGATTACATCCACAATGGCCAGTTGGGCCGTCTTCATTACAATGGGGCATGTCCCATGCTCATGGTGGTAAGTTGCGAATAAAAAGTGTTTGCTTTTGTATAAACCGGATTGTGCATAAGCATTGCATTCGGTTTGCATTGAGTGCTTTCAACTTGTTAGCAAACATACCAACATCACATATTATGTACGTATGTATACAGACTAGGGGCCGGGTACTCAATGTCTGGTTAGTAGCTTAGTTGTGCATACTTGACGTTGCATGAGAGTTGTCACATAAAAAATCTGTTAAATGAGCTTTGCATGGAGTGAGTAACGTCGCCAACGATATTTAACTGATTAGTGTTAACCAGAGATGGTGAAAACGGCCCTGAGGCCAAATTCTCCATGCCTGGTTAACACTAACTACAGTTGAAACATCGTTATCGACTCCCTGTTATATGTTATGGTGTCGATCACCTCGATAACCATGTTCATCCTGCAGATAGTGTTTACCAGACATATACCACGTTTATGCGACAGAATTCATTACTTCTTCATTTCATAAAATCAAAAATGGTTCCGTTTATGCCTAATTCGCGAATTCATGAAATTAAGTGTTTTTGGCCCTTGTTTGAATTCGCAAAATTATTTAAATGGGTTTTAATGTATTCTATTTTATTCTATTTGAAAATTTTTTATATTTGAATAAATCTACGTAAATTTTCCAGGGTTTTAAGTCATGGTTACGCCCATCATGCTCATTAATCCAAAAACATCATAACCCTAGTTAACAGCCGTTTGTGAAACGTGGCGTTGCCGGCCTTGCACTTCGCGATTTCATGAAATGATGCAGAATTCATGGTTAACATTCGTGTATAACTGAATTAACGAAATTGTGTTTTTGGATCCACTATTAACCCAAATTGATGAGATGATTTCGTGAATTGGCCTACGCATAAACGTAGTAATAAAGTAACCGGCCCTAAGTGCTCGTCTCCGCAGGATAAATTTTATATCTGATAAATATGTCTGAATATAAATTGGCAAAGGAGACCGCTAACTACTCTTCAAGAGCAATATATGTATACCATATCTTGCCATCTATTGCCGGCAATTTGGTAGTTTGACAGCTACATTTTCATTTGAACAAAAGCTTCGTGGCGGCAACATTATTGATATTTTAATATAAAAGGAAAAATTGAGCTTATGTACTTGGATGTGAAATAACATATTTTCTAAACTTTTTAAGCGATTAAATTCGACAAAAATACGTTTAAGGGCCGGTTGCTCAAAGCCTGGTTGGCACTAATCTCCGGTTAACATCGTTATCGACGTCTTCGACTGCATGCATATAACACGGTGTCGGTAACGACGATAACGATGTTTAACCGTAGATTAGTGTCAATCGGGCTTTGAGCAACCGGCCCTTAGAAGCTATCTTACAAATACCCATATCAAGATATAAAATGCCCACATACAAAAATTGCCACTGATATAAATTATATCTAGCAATCAAAATTATAGCTGAACAGCAACAAATTTTATTCCGTGGTGACGGCCAATAACGGAAATTTGTTCAATGTCAGATTCCCACTATCTCCCAGTTAAACATCATTATCGACGCTTTTACCTCCGGTTTGTGTTAATCGGATATTGAAAAACGGCCTTATGACCGGTTGTTCTGGTTGTCTGGTTATCACTACCTCTCAGTTAAACATCATTATAGACGACGTTTTCGATATCATGCATATAACATGGGATCCATAAAGCAGTCGTTGTATTTAACCAGTGCTTCTACTTCCGATTTTTTATAACCAGACATTGAACAACCGGCCCTTATGAATGTATGTTCACACATAAATATGCTTTGATTAGTAATTTGTATAGTCTCTCTTCGTAGCTGCATACGTGCATATATACGTATGTATATACATATATGTATATGTAGCTCAGCGCTTGGAATCTGATATTTCTTTAAAATTTAATCTTTTAACTTTTTAATTGTATTTTAGTTTCATGGTGGAAGTTGCGAACGGATTTTCTGGCACGGTTGGATAGTCAACGATGTTATTGAATTCGTCTTCTCTGCGCTTGCGCTCTTCGTTCTGGCTTTTTCCTACGAAGCGCTTAAGTTTTTCAGCCAACAGCTTGTGAAAAAGAACGAAATGAAGGAAGCCCACGGTGCCAAAATGTCTACCACTATTAAATCGAATTGCTCAGAGGCGCCATTGACTGGGCCCAACCGAATCGTAAATTGGCGTACAATCAACACTTCAGTCCATATGGTCCAGACTTTGTTGTACGCAGCACAGGGTACGATTTCCTACGTGCTGATGCTGGTTTTTATGAACTTTAACTACTGGATATGTCTCGCTGTAATTTCAGGATTAAGCTTGGGGTTTTTCGCATTTGGCTGGACGAGACGTATACATTTTTTTAATGAATGTTGTAATTAAACAAATCAATAAGCGTGAAAAATTTACACAAATGATTACGAGCAGATCACTTGTTTTCATTAAGCTGGCGCATATCATGGATGTTACATAGTTTAGAGTGAAATCTGTTAGAAATAACTTTTGGTACAACCACAGCCATCGGATAGGAAAGTTAAAGTTCTTCCCATTCAAAGGAAGTTTTCACTAAAGGAACAACAATGGGGTTGAAAAATATTTAAATTTCTTAGCATGTACTTCAGATAGAGGATGGCTGCGGGTTCAGAAGTCCGTGCATATGAGGAACGTTGTTGACCGACATTCACTAGGGGGTGTGTTTACACCAAGTATCTTCTGGGTAGCAATGGAACACCCGCTTATAAGCGAGCTAATTGTGAGAAGGTGAACCCCAACAATGGGTTGTTAAAAACTTATCAATGAAAGGTAAAATTAGGAAAGCATTTTTGGCCTCTTTGGATCATGCTTTACTATGAAGTTTTTTACAAGTTAAAATGCCTTTGAGTATGTTATATAGTGCCATCCCTAGATATTATGCCTCCAAATTTAAGTTTGTAAGCGATAACCATTAAGCCAAAAAGTATGTATTCAATTTATTACTATTTAGTTAACGAATTCTTTGCTTACCTAAGCAAATCCCAAAATGAAATCATTATTTTCACCAGTAGCTTGTTTTTCTAACTCTTCTCTACCGATTATTTCTCAACTGGTAGAGAATATACGTCATTCTCTAATACTCATTAGCAGTAGAGAACAGGGTGGCGAATTCATATATCAATTCGCCTTGATAGAGAATTGTTACAGAAACGAGCTACAGAACTCTTACGAAACGTCGAATTACGAACTGATGCTGTCCGCAAAAAAAAAAAATAAAAAAACCAAATCGACCATGTTGTGATAGACGGAAGGAACGTGTCCCATGTTTTAGGCGTCCATACGATCGGAGGGCCAAACATTGACTCAAATCACTTTCTTGTTGCAGTCAAGATACGCACCCGTCTCTGTGCAGCAAAAATGTGCTTCTAGCATTACAAAGAAAGCTAAACACCGAGAACCTGCAAAAGACGGTCCATTTCGGACGGTTTGTACTTTAGGTCCTGTAGTTCTCCGATCTTCTGGACGATCGTCACATGGCTTGGGCGATAAATTCGTTCAAACCATTAAACTCGCCGGGGACCGATGGCATCATACTTGCGGCAGGGTGAGGACGGGGTACATCCCCAAGCCTTGGAGGGTAGTCAGTGTTGCGTTCATTCCGAAGGCAAGAAAAGGCTCTCATGTTTCTCATATGGATTTTATACCTATCAGTCTGTCTTCGTTTTTGCTAAAACCGCTAGAGAGATGGATAGACCTGTACAGATGAAACGCGTTTCGTCGGAACTCTCTTTCAAGAGTTCGACATGCTTATTGCAAGGTCGGTGGATTCCACCACGCACAATTTTTCGTAGGATACGTGGCAGGTGCATGGCATAAATGGACGCCAGTCTAGCGCGAGCACATGCCTACCAATTGATTGCGGCATGCAAAATTAATTCGAATGCACCTGAAATGGTTATTTAAGAAATTAATAACGCTCATTAAGTGCGATGTGTGATCAGCCGTTGTATGTATTGCTTCAATGGAGCTGGAGCTTTCAGGCACCTTTTTACCTTTTGCTCTGACAGCATGCCATAGAGAAGACATAAAGCTGTGCAATGTAGCCGAGTCGGCTGCCAACTCGTGGTGCCATCCATTTTGTTCGCGTAAATTTCATTACGAATTCTCTGCCCTGTACCGGGAGTCAGTCAATGAAAAAGAAAGAGTTATTGGTATCCCCATAACACATCCATCTCCATGTACATAAATATGTACGAATTTATATATTCATTTTTTCCCTGCTCATACGAACGTGTTGCAATATTGAGCACTTTTTCCCCATCCACACAAGGGTATGTTGCGTATACGCCATGTGTGACGACACTTCTACATTTTTGACGCAATAAATGGAGTGAAGAATGCGCTTCCCGAATTTTTTTGTTTACGACTTTTACCATTCAAAATGGAAATTAATGCCACTACCAGCACAAAATACATATTAATTTTATTATAATTCTTACAGCTTTTTGATCCGCTTCCGGTTATCACAGCCAGAAGTTCAATTATGTATATAGTAGTTGCGAAGATAGAATATATTGTATCCACTAGGGTATACAATTCAGAATTCCGGGATGCCGGACAATTTTCCATATCCCGAAATCCCGCGATCGCGTATTTATTTACAGAGTGAAAGTGGTGTTGAAAACGAAAAAATGAGTTCACGGGCATTTGAAATGAAAAACGAGAAATACAGAACACCAAAATTGAGATTCACAGTGAACTTGAGTCACTTGCACTCGAAAGTGAATTTCAGTAAACACGAAAAATTTGGTAGCTATTGAAAACACAAGAAACTTTTTACAGTGTGGCAGAGTTGCTCTTCATTTTACTTTGTAGGCGTTTTGTGAAAATTGAATTTGAGCAAATATGAGTAAGTGTTTTTTTACAATTAATATAGATATATTTAAGAATATTACAAATATATTTAAACTACATACTCTTTTAGTAAAGTGCATTATGCTCCGCGTAAGAGCAAATATGGTGATAATAAATCTGTGGGGTTTAATTTTTTTATAGCTAAAAACTGTGCGCCTACTGCAAAATGCAAAAATTGTGATAAAGTAGAAATCCCGAAAAAATCCGGGATCCCGGGGTTCGAGTTTTTCGCATCCCGGATTTGTTAACATGCTTCGGGATTGATTGCCCTAGTATCCACCTATTGTTGAGACATGCTTTTGATAATTCGTTCGCCGCATTCCTAATGCGAATTGCGTGTGGGAGTTATTAGGGAAATTAAATAAAAAGCCATGCCATCAATTAAATAAATAAAAGGAGTTTAGTTAAACAATAAAATGTCGTCGCTCGGCGCGCAATCCCTCATATCCGGAAAATGTAATATCTACCAGGGACTGTAATCATTGTGAGCAAAATAATTTAAATCAGCATTTAATCATTATTTGGTGATTTTTATTTTTTTCGCTTAAAAATGATAATTATTATTGAATTTTATTTTTTCGCTCAACGGAAATAATTTTTATTTGCATTTTTATTTTTTCGATCTCAAATAATGATTATTTTATGATTTTTATTTTACTACTTAAACACTGTGATTATTATAAAATAGAAAAGTCCATAGAGACGCAATCTACGGAAATTTTGACCTGAAAATTTTGGAACTTAACCCTTTAATATGGTGTCGCTACCTCTAAGAGGATACGTCGGAAATCACGCTGGTATAGCTTTTGAGTTTTTTGAATGATAATTTAAAATAATAATATTCAATAATAATTATTATCTTTGAGCAAAAAAATCAAAATCATAAAATAATCATTATTTTTGATTGATAAAATAAAAATCAAGTAATATTAATTTCCTTTGAGCGAAAAAAATGTCAAATATTAATTATTATTTTTAATATTTATTGATTAAACTCGAAAAATAAAAAACATTGTAAATTACACAAAACTTGTTGATCTTTTTGGTTAAAATATAAAAAATAATGATTATTTTCCGTCCATGGCACAGAAAATAATTTATTTTGGCTCTCCTCTCTCAATGCTTACCTACTTCAGCTAAGACTGAATAATTATAGTAAAAGCTCACATTTAGCAATTTTCTTTGCTCTTTTGCAATATTATTTTTTTCTGTCATAAAATTTGGACTATTTGCAGCAATTAATAACAATCCAGAAAATACCGTTTTACTTTAAGGCTAAAATATTGCTTGCACTAATGAAATAGAAATCGACATTTTTTGAGTGTATATATCTGTGGTCATAAGTAATAATCGCCTAAGTCGAAAAACCTGAATTTGACAAAAACCGCTTTAAAGATTTGGATTGTGGGGAAACCACAATATTTTCATCTATAACTTTATTAATAGCTTAGCTAACGAGATGGGAGTTTCACATAAATATAGAATAGTAGTTGCAGAAAACAATAGTATATATAACTCAATTCTTTCTTAAGTCGACTTAGGCGGTTACTGCTTATGACCACAGATACATATAAGTATGTATATATTTTTATGCTGGTTAACGATTCCTAAAACTGTGCTTACGCACTTGAATGAACCATTTGCTTTAACCATAGTGAAATAGCTTAAATGATCAATTTTAAAAATTTATTTTCTCAGATAAAATAAAATACAAATCCAAAGAAGGTAAGAAACATGACTTTTTCTTAAATTTCTAAACGAATTTCCAATGTTATAACCATGATAAAAAAATAGGAAGGTAGAACCGCTGATAGGAATTTTTCAAATTCTTGATGTTTGCAAGCAATTTAATTTTAAAATTTTACACACAAACTCACACACACATTCTAATTTTCAATCTAAAACAACAACAACTTTGAACAATTCATTTTTTTTTGCTCTCAATTTTATATGATTTTAAAATGTTGGCAAACTTAAAAAAAAAATCATGGCCGACGAATTGAGAGAACGGTTTTACCTTGCTATGTGTTTTTATCATGGTTATAACTACATAATGGTTTTGAAAACTAACCCAGCAAACATAAGGAGTCCTATTTCGGAGCCTTTACGCTCATAATGAGCTCATTTAAGAGTCAGATATGAGGGTGTTTCCCTTCCTCCGAAGGTCGACTTACATGAGCTTAAATTCATACATCAAATGAGCATCAATAAGAGTCATATCCGACTCATAAGTCTCATTTGGACTCTTATTTTAGGTTTTTCTTTGAGTCTTATTTACTCTATATTTTCAAAAGCATTCAACAAAAATTTCTTTCAAACAGCATATATACATACTTACCTGCATATATATTTACATTTCAACATGCATTTAAAAGCAGCAGCTGCAGCTAAATTTTGTTTAGTTTTTGTTTTCTAATTATTTTCAATTTCTGTATAAACAAGTTAAGATATAAATTTCTAATCTTTATTTTGTTTTTATATTGGCACAAGGTGCTGGCTCATAATTTGGATCATATATGACTCTTAAAATAAATACTCATAAAAGAGGCACACATTTTTTATTTTTGAAACTCATATTTCTTACCCATCTAAGATTCCTTATATTCCGATCGCTCAGGATATGTTTGCGGGAAAGTAGTACATTGG